CAAGCGAAAGGCAGAGTGTCATATCAAAGGCCTCAGTTTGCAGGAGGTTGAGTCTGGTTCAGGAGGGTGCACACTGCAATTTGGCAGCCCATCCATATTAAATGGACCAACAGTGCAACTCAATGCGTCGGCAGCATTTCTGGCAATGCTTTATATGTTGTGCAGCACACTACATGTGTGTATTGGGGCGCCATTTTAAATTAAAGTGTATACAAAGGCAAGCTCTGTTAACCAGTTTGGCCATACAGTATAGGAAGCAAATGAAACCAATTAAGTAACAGTCTATAGGTCTTATTATAAAAGTAAAGCCACCTTTCCCTAAGCGGCGTGACTACTTAAATTTATCTCTGCTGGGCTGTAAACAGTCTAAATTGAATTGATGGTGCTGTGCTCATTGGGTCTCCCCTAAGCCCAGTGTTATCGCTTGCTTCTGCTTGCTGCTGGCATGTGACCCTGGCAAACTCCAAACTACAAATCCCATGAGGCATTGCAAGAGGCTCTCTTTAATATAGGGGGTCTTGTTAATACAGAGTCTATTTAATATAGGATCTCTGTACTAGAGGGTCTCTGAAATACAGGGTCTCTTTAATACAGGGCCTCTTTAATACAAGGTCTCTTTAATACAAGGTCTCTTTAATACAAGGTCTCTTTAATACAAGGTCTCTTTAATACAAGGTCTCTTTAATACAAGGTCTCTTTAATACAGGGTCTCTTTAATACAAGGTCTATTTAATACAAAGTCTCTTTAACATAGGAACTCTTTAGTACAGGGTCTCTTTAATACAGGGTCTCTTTAATACAGGGCCTCTTTATTATAGGGTTCCTTTAACACAGGGTCTCTTTAATGCAGGGTCTCTGTAAAACAGGGTCTCTGTAATACAGGTTCTCTTTAATTCAAGGTCTCGTTAATACAAGGTCTCTGTAAAACAGGGTCTCTTTAATGCAGGGTCTCTTTAATGCAGGGTCTCTTTAATACAGGGTCTCATTAATACAGGGTCTCTGTAATATAGGATCTAGTACCCCAACGCATTTCCTGTCTGCAAAGCATGGTACCGCAATACTGTGCATTGCAGTGGAAAGCGTGCCGTGCAGAAAACGCACCGCAGCTGTGTGAACGGGCCCTTACTGTGCATGTGTCTAATGCTCAATTGAGCCCAATGCCATTTGGATTTTTAGCGACACAAACCTGTGAAATAGTCATCATTGTGCTAATTTGCGCCCTCGCCAGTCCAACCTATTAAGGTTATTCTACCAATTTACGCAATTTCCCTGCGTGCATTATAAATGCAGCATTGCAAGGGGACTGAAGCTCTCCTAAAAATTAAAAAGGAAACCCCAATACATGAACTTTAAACTTTACAATTCTGCTACATCACATAAAAGTCTCACTAATGTGATATCCTATTAGGGTTGCCACCTGTTCTGGATTCACCCGGACAGTCCAGGTTTTAAATGCTTTGTCCAGGATTCATGGCAACAGAAACCCGGACACATGATGTCAGGCAGACGGGAAACCAAAATTAAGATTGGGGCTACTGGCCCCCCACTGAAAATAGTCTCCACTGTGATATTTACATATGAATGGGTAGCGCTATTTACATATGAATAAGCCACGACTCATTCTCCCAAAACAATGTCTGCACGGCGATTGAGTGTTCGGGTTTTGCTGGAAGAAAAGGTTGCAACCCAATATCCTATTAATCATCGAACTTCCTTGAAATATTTTTTTGGGTAAGTACATTACTTAATAAATTAATAATAAAATATTTGAGGGTATGAAAATTACACAAATATTGCGTTGGGAAAACCTATAGGAAAATGACATTTGAAAAAAATTATATTTCTTCCTAATAAAAATCAAGGAAATAAAAAATATATGTATCCAATTCTGCTACCAAATGAAAGCCTTATCCATCCCCCAAAAATGTATAATACATCAGGGTCCTTAAAAAGATAATACTGTATAATCCCCACAATTAAAAAAAAAAAAAACATTTTCTGGCTCTCAAGGGTAATTGAGGAATAACAGGTCTCGGGAACTCAAGTGGTTAAGCTGGGCGCTGATGACTCACCCATGTCTAATAAAGTTCCTTATTTTGAATTATGACCCCTGGCGACTCTACTCGGGCGACGAGCTGCAATACCCCCAAGCGGCCTGAGGCGGTGCTGTTGAGCACATTAACATCAATAGAACTATATTGATCCTCATTTATCAAAATGTATTTTACAAAATCAGTGTATTAAACGTGAACTGTCTCTCTTTCTGCAAGCGATCAGTTCTTTGCTTCCTTCTCAACCACCCCTGGAAACACAACCATTGTATTCTGATGGGTTGTTATGAAAACCAAAGCTCCAAAATGTTATTTTTAATAAAAATATGCCTTTTTTGTTTCTTCTGTGTCTTAAAAATATGCCAAACTGTACTTGCGCTTAGATCATCCACTCAATTTTTCTGGGACTGCTGAGCATTGTAGTCCCACCCCTGCAATCTCAGGCCTTGGGTTATCTTATCACGGGCCTAGTGTACGATAGCTCACACCCATGGTTAAATTGGCAGCCGGGCCGGTGTAATGTATGTCACTGCCAAGCCCGGTGACGAAGCACAGCCCTGCGTGCCGTGTATAAATAAAAAAGGTCTGCATCGTCGTCTTCAGAAAGAGGAAGTCCTCTGAGTTTAATGACATTGGCACAGCAAGGCTTGTTTTGGAAAGGAGGAGAGGGGTTTCCTGCCACGGCTCCTGGCAGACAATTGTAAGGCCGGCCGAGGTTACTGAGAACAACAGAGCTGTCCGTCGCCCGGGCACTGAGCGCTCTCGAGATTCAGGAAGCTCTCTCTTGCAGATTTCCTGATTCTCTTCCTGCTGCCCAGGATGTGACGCCAATCTGGGGACAAGGTGAGGCTCACACAACTTCTTAGAAGATACCCATCACTTCTGAGAGGCTTCCCCGAAAACGGAGAGGACCCCCCTCGACTCGACCCGAAGAGACAGCTACTCCAGAAAGAGAAGTCCCTCGCGCCTGGGCAGGTTGTCATAGAAATCTCGGTCAACAGAAAAGTCAAGGGACCTGGTGAAAGAGCAAGAAGCATCACTCATGTACTTCGTGTGAGCCAAGCTGACCCTGTAAGTGCCCTGTATTGTGCTCCCTATGGTATATATACAACCCCGGGGATCAAATGCGGTCAACCTGACCAAAGCCAATGTCTCAGTTAGAGGAGGGTACTGGTCAACTGGTATGTCTTGGTGACACCAGCAGTGATCATAAGAGTTGCTGGCTCTCCTCACTCCTCTGCCGTGGGGTCTCGCTTCTATGGCTGCATAATAATATATAGGGAGAGTAGTACCCCAGGAGATGGGCGGAGCTGTGAACTCTATGGCAGAGGTCTGATCATCGGAGTTCCCAAGACATGTAACACAAAACTGAGATTTCCATTTTGAAAGGAGTGATCCTTTAAATAGGGACTTACAGTCCTATTTGTAATGATTGTAGGTACTCACAGTATGTAAATGTGATTGTCTTAAAGTCAATGGGTGTCTATTTTGTAAAAACCTTTTTATTCTATGTAACTCGTAATTATATGTATGTACAAGGGGGCAGCCATATTGGCCCAACATGCAAACACCTGTATAGTAGTGCTGCACAGTGGTTGTGCCTTACTTTTCGCCTCTTTCAATAGGAGTTTGACAGTGTGCGGGCGTGCTGACACCAATGTATTGTTTATATCTGTATGTGACCGAGAGTTTATCTCTGTAAGCTCCTGCAAACCTACAAGGAGCCCCTACCGAACATGGAAGGAAGCTCCTTCCATGCCACCCAATCAGCTGCCAGTTGGGAATTTCCCGCCCGCAGCTTGATGTAAACAAAGGGGCGGGATGCAATGACATCATTGACCTAATATGGCTACATACCTATATTTGGTAAATGTAATTTAACCTAGTATGGTTATGTGGCCATATAAGGTGAATGATGTCAGCACAATCATCCCGCCCCTTTGTTTACATGCAGCAATGCCCATAACACACTTGATTGGGTGGAAGTTCCCATAGCACTTCCTTGTTTGGAGGAGTTTAGGTCCTCAGCTGTTCCCTATTGCTGACGAGGGGGACAGAATGCAAGAAATACAGATAAGCTGCTAGATGGAGAATCTACAAATCTGGACATGGTGCAATAATATGAATATGATACAGCAGCCATATTGTACTGCTGGGCCTGGCAAATGTTGAAAACTGGCCACAAGATTTATTTCACCCCCTTACCCCAACCCAGACCCCAAGGTGCCCTTTTGTTCCAACAACAAGCACAGCTTTGGTCTTTATTGTGTAGCCCGCTCCTTCCTGCCTTCCTATTGGCCAAGGAGTGTGATAGGTGGCCCGAATGGCCAATAGGAAGCCATGAGGGCTGTGGTTGATATTTGCTGAATAGATCACCCTGTGGTTTTATAAGCCTTGGGGGTGCTCTGGAAATAAACGAAGAACGCATGCTGGGACCTAGAGATGATGCGTTATTATCTCAATATGCTGCGTTGGAAAACTGCAAAGCCATGTAGTTTGTTTTCTTTGCAAAGCAGCCACAACCTGGGTAGAAATGCGTGTCCCCTGCCAGCATGCTGCAGGGAAGAACCCTTGCTCCCTGTGCGGTAGCAGCAGTCTCAGAGGCTGTACCGCTGTTACCTGCCGGCGGCCATCTTGGTGATGGATGCCGGCAGAGAGAGGAGGGGACATTCACCCGGCAGGTTAAGGAATGCCGCTGGGTCCCCTCCTCTCTCTCTCTTGAGCAACTGTCGGGCTCTCGGTCCATGACCGAGTGCCCGACTTTTTAGAGGGGGTGACACCAAAATGACTGTCAGTCATTTTGGTGTCACCCCTTCAGTGGTGGCACGCGGGCCGCACCCCCCTTGTAACGCCACTGAGCAGTCTTTTTATAGAGGTGCAACAAGCCCCCCTGCTGAGCTAGGGCTCTCCAATCAGCAGGGAGTATGGGCAGTGGCGTCACAAGGGGGGTGCGGCCCGCACCCGGGTGACACCATTGGAGGGGTGACAACAAAATGACTCACAGTCATTTTGGTGTCACCCCCCTCTGAAAAGTTGGGCGCTCGGTCATGGACCGAACGCCCGACAGTATCAGGAGAGAGGAGGGGACCCGGCGGCATACCTTATTCCGCCGGGTGACTGTCCCCTCCTCTCTTTGCCGGCGTCCATCACCAAGATGGCCACCGGCTGGTATCCGAATACTGCCGCGCGTGCGCAATGATGACGTCACACGCATGCGCAGTGACGTCTCGGCAGGGTGACACTCGGTTACCGCTCCGGGTGTTACCCAGCCTCGGGACGCCCCTGAGTATGGGTTTTGCCTAATGACAGAGCTATAGGTCTGACTCATTAGGGGGGTGTCAGACCTCTGCAGAGAGACCACGGCTTCCACACAGAAAGTAAGTGTCCTTCTCTGCAGCATGCTGGCAGGCGACGGGCTTTTCTACTCAACTGGTGGCTGCTTTCTAAACAAAAAGAACTATAATACTGTGTACACCTTTTTGTTTTGATGCAGCTGAAATGTATTTAGCTGATTTAATCAGAAAGTTCAGCTGGGCTTTAGGATAAAGGTTACAGTAGTAGCCAAAATATTATACTGGGGCGGGTCCAGGATGACCTGAGCTCAGAGGAAGTGGGTTTAATGATGCTGGCCATCAGACTGGGGACATCTAGTGGCAGTAAAAAGTACTGCGGGGGGGGGAATCTATAAATTGAAGCTGAATATTGCAGTATAAGCTGGTTATGTCATTTTATGTTTTATTGGGCTGTTCATATACAAACTTAAAAAGATAAATCTCTTTATATTTTCTGCCTTGAATACACATCTCAGTACTAACACTTTATGCAAACATGCTACTCGTACATAGCAACTTTTGCTGTTTTTGGCCCCTCGCCTGGCTATCCTGACACTTGCATAGAAGAATTCACAGCGTAGTACACAGGCTGGGGGAGGGGAGGGCGTCTTGTTGCTGCAGGCAGTCTTCTCCTTAGCAGCAGAGAGCGTCCTGTCTTCTTCTTACACTTCTGCCGTGTAACATGACCATTTGTTGCTGTTTTCTTCTTTAGTCTGTGCTGACACACATGATCCTGCGCACACTAAGGACAGCACTGGAGGAGGAGAGACGGGGACACAAACCCAAACAAGAGTCCAAAGATGAACAGGCGGAGGTGAGACCATCCATCTATCCATGTCTAGGACCGTCCATGTATCTAAGTCTAGGACCGTCCATGTATCTAAGTCTAGGACCGTCCATGTATCTAAGTCTATGACCATCCATGTATCTATGTCTATGACCATCCATGTATCTATGTCTATGACCATCCATGTATCTATGTCTATGACCATCCATGTATCTATGTCTATGACCATCCATGTACCTATGTCTATGACCATCCATGTACCTATGTCTATGACCATCCATGTACCTATGTCTATGACCATTGTAGGGATCCAGTCTCAATGTAGAGGCAAACTCGCAGTCTCTTCAACAAAAATGCCAGCTTTAATTCCAGACAGCAATCAGTTGACAAAAAAAAGGTTACAGGTATCCAGCCCCAAAATGTAAATTGTCATAAACAAATAAAAGTCCGCTCCACTGAGCCTTACTGGGTATTAGCGATAGTCCGCTGAGCTGGGCCCGTTTCCTTTATGGGAACAGTTACAGTCCATCCACAGAACCCTGTCCTGCTGACAGGCTTGGCTCCAAACACAGAACTTGCTGCATTCAGCGCACACTCTCTCCTTGCACTGAGACACACACTTCCCCCAAGCTAGGTGCAGCTGCACACTAATGAAGTCCTGTGCAGTCTTCACTAAACTACGGTCCATGGAACTAGGAGTCTGTCCCACCCAGAGCTCTATCAGACTCCTAGTAACACCAGCCCCAGGATTTGTTTTACCAATACAAGGTAAAGAGCTATTTTTCTTTACCTCCAATTCTATGCTGGCATTACCTTAGATGATGAATCTAAGGATCCGTGGAGAAATGTATCTACCATCTATCACTTTTCCTGCCAACCTGGCAGGTTTTACTGGCACCATGTTACACCATTCATGTATCTATGTCTATGTCCATCTATGTGTCTATGTCTATCTATGTATCTATGTCTATGTGTCTATGTCTATGACCATCTATGTGTCTATGTCTATGACCATCTATGTGTCTATGTCTATGACCATCTATGTGTCTATGTCTATGACCATCTATGTATCTATGTCTATGACCATCTATGTATCTATGTCTATGACTATCTATGTCTATGACCATTCATGTATCTAAGTCTATGACCATTCATGTATGTATGTCTCTGATCATCCATGTATCAATGTCTGTGACCATTCAAATATCTATGTCTAGGACCATCCATATATGTATATCTATGATCATCCATGTGTCTATGTCTATGACCATCCATGTGTCTATGTCTATCCATGTGTCTATGTCTATGACCATTCATGTATCTATGTTTATGACCATTCATGTATCTATGTTTATGACCATCCATGTATCTATGTCTATGACCATCCATCTATCCATGTCTAGGACCATTCATGAACCATTCATGTATCTATGTTTATGATCATCCATGTATCTATGTCTATGACCATCCATCTATCCATGTCTAGGACCATTCATGTATCTATGTCTATGACCATCCATGTATCTATGTCTATGACCATCCATCTATCCATGTCTAGGACCATTCATGTATCTATGTCTATGACCATCCATGTATCTATGTCTATGACCATCCATCTATCCATGTCTAGGACCATTCATGTATCTATGTCTATGACCATCCATGTATCTATGTCTATGACCATCCATCTATCCATGTCTAGGACCATCCATGTATCTATGTCTAGGACCATCCATGTGTCTATGTCTAGGACCATCCATGTATGTATGTCTATGACCATCCATGTATCTAAGTCTATGGCCATTCATGTGTCTATGTCTATGACTATCCATGTATCTATGTCTATGACCATTCATGTGTCTATGTCTATGACCATCTATGTATCAATGTCTATGACCATCCATGTATGTATGTCTATGACCATCCATGTATGTATGTCTATGACCATCCATGTGTCTATGTCTATGACCATCCATGTGTCTATGTCTATGACCATCCATGTGTCTATGTCTATGACCATTCATGTATCTATGTTTATGACCATGCATGTATCTATGTTTATGACCATCCATCTATCCATGTCTAGGACCATCCATCTATCCATGTCTAGGACCATCCATGTATCTTATGTCTAGGACCATCCATGTATCTATGTCTAGGACCATCCATGTGTCTATGTCTAGGACCACCCAGCTAAACCCTAGTACAGGGGTAGGCTATCTCAGCACTCCAGTTGTGGTGAAAGTACGAATCTCATCATGCCCCTGCCTCTGGGAGTCATCCCTCTGGCTGTTATTCTTGCAATGCCCCATGGGACGTGTAGTTCCACAACAGCTGGAGTGACAATGTTGCTTACCCCCGTCCTAAAATGTAACCACGCCCCATCCCCAGGTGATCTTTGCTATGTGGTTTTCTACCTGGGTCTTCATAGCCTATTCACCACACTCTGCACAACCTGACTCGCACTCCGCTCAGTTCCGATCAATAGAAAGTCCATCACCGGGCTGACAGGCTGTGGACGGGCTTTCCACTTAGCTAATGAAGGAGTTACGGTGGCCATATATTATCTGATCTTTTAAAGTGTATGTAATCCCCAACAATGAACTCCTCCTATTTGCTCCCTTTCCGTCCCTGAAGTATACCATTGAAAGTGTTTTGTTAAATCTGTTCAATAATATCTGTTGATCCTGCCAGGAATTCAGTGAGCTCTAACGTTCCTGTGCACTCTGCAGTGGTATTGCAAGCAGTACTATTAGTCACACCCATTTCACTTCTATGAACTACAGTACACCCTTTATATATGTACATGAGGAGAGGGGGTTTGTGTTACTGGCAAGATCACTAGGTGAAAATGAAGGTTAATAAGCCTGAAAAAAAGAAAACTAATGCAGCCACAAGGACTGCTAAGCTGCAATTCATTACATTTCTCTTCTTGGGTTTTGTATATAATATGATATAAGTAATGTGACTGATTGGAGTTTTGCTTTGGAGGAACAGGTATGGATGGGGGGACTTAATGAGCTCTTCCAGTCATTGGCAGCGCACTTCGCACAAATGATTTTCCCAATTTCAGAGCATTTGGGCATTCTTTGGAGATAAGTTCTGCAGTGCTGCATGTGCTAACAAGCAGCATGCTGATGGTAGGAAAGAGCAGAGTGACAGAGAGATGAGCTCATCAGTCTGCTGCTTCTCATTTCACTGTCCAATTGCAGGCTGGAGAGAGAAATTAGGTCTGTGATGAGGTGTGTACCTGTGTGTATATGGGTCTGTATATATATATACACACACACACATACACTAAGCATCATCTCTTTTCTCCATGCTGCTATACCGCATAAGCCTCCCGAACTCTTCCATTATGACCCCTCCTTAAAGCAATCCCTGTTTTTTTAAGGAAAAATGCCAAGAATGTTTCTGGCAACACCCACTTTTTATGGTCTCCCGACTTGCCACTACCTGGAATATGAAGCAGTTTATTGCTCGTCAGAGCCACACCTGGAAAATGTAAATACACGAGCGATGCGAATATTTAGCCGCCATTGTGCCGGAGATGCAGAGCAGGGGTCAGCTGGGGCGCGCAGTTTAGCGGCCGTGGCCTTGAGCCGCATATGCATGGATTATCTGCAGATACATATTCATCTGCAGGAACCGGTTTGGCAGGGTGTGCAGCTCTTCTTACAGAACATATGTATAAATGTGTGCGAACACGTGTGTGTGTGTGTGTCTGTCCCCGGAAGTGAAGACGCCAGGGACCGAGGGGCTAATCTACCTACTTTCTCCGCCTTGAAGGTTTAACCCTTCAAACCCCACTCCGTCCTCCATTGCACACCTTCATCTTCTGCCGTTTCCATACTGACCCCCCCTCCCCATCCGCTCTGCATCCTGTAACCCAACTCTCTTCATCAGCCAACCTCACCCGCCTCTCTCCTCTGTCACCTTTACTATATCGGGTGCCACTTTCTATGAATGTTGCCTTGAACTTCTGCCTGTCAAGGGGGGACCAGGGTGTTACCTCCAAAACGACGTGGTACTGTCAGCCTGGTAAGGTGAGTCACCTGGCACCCCTGTGCCCCCTTTTCTAGCATTTGTCTTCCTTACTGTTTAGAAAATGCTCTGCCAGCAGACCCAAGGGCAAGCAGTGGAGGGAGAGATCTAAAGGGGGGCTGTGGATGGAGATCTTCAAGGGGAACCCATGGATGGAGAGCTTCAAGTGGATCCGTGGATGGAGAGCTCCAAGGGGAACTCATGGATGGAGAGCTTCAAGTGGATCTGTGGATGGAGAGCTCCAAGGGGAACTCATGGATGGAGAGCTTCAAGTGGATCTGTGGATGGAGAGCTCCAAGGAGAACCCAGGGATGGAGAGCTTCAAGTGGATCTGTGGATGGAGAGCTCCAAGGAGAACCCAGGGATGGAGAGCTTCGAGTGGATCCGTGAATGGAGAGCTACAAGGGGTACCCAGGGATGGAGAGCTTCAAGTGGATCCGTGGATGGAGAGCTCCAAGGGGAACCCAGGGATGGAGAGCTCCAAGGGGAACCCAGGGATGGAGAGCTTCAAGTGGAGCCTTGGATGGAGAGCTCCAAGGAGAACCCAGGGGTGTAGAGCTTCAAGTGGATCTGGGATGGAGAGCTCCAAGGAAAAGCTGTAGATGGAGAGCTCCAAGGAGAACCCATGAATGGAAAGCTCCAAATGGATCTATGGATGGAGAGCTCCAAGGGGAAGCCGTAGATGGAGAGCTCCAAGGGGAACCCATGGATGGAGAGCTCCAAGGAGAACCCATGGATGGAAAGCTCCAAATGGATCTATGGATGGAGAGCTCCAAGGGGAAGCCGTGAATGGAGAGCTCGAAGGGAAACCTGTGACTGGAGAGTTCAGAGGGGAAGCTGTGGCTAGAAAGCTCAAAGTGGAAGCTGTGCATAGAGAGCTCCAGGTGACAAAAGGTTACTTCTGTCTACGCATAGTTCTGGGAGGGCGGGGTACCAACCAGTGGTGCGCTACCATGAGAGGTTTACGGATGCCCGGGGTAAGTCTGGGTCCCTTGTACACCATGGCTGGATATATAATAATAATGGAAAGTTAAACCCCCTGACAGTCTCTTGGGGTCTCTGTTGGTGAGATCTCTGTGCTGGGTACCTGATGCAACAAGAAGACATTTATCATATCATTTATGGGGAGTGAAACTTCAACGCGGGTGGGAACAGGTCTAAACTATGACGGGGGGGGGGATCTCACTGCTACTGTTAAGTAGCAGCCCATTGGAATCCGCCTATAACAGAAATAGCACCTTAGGCTAGATTAACCCTTTCATGTATCAGCAGCATTTCTGTGCACGCTCTGGGTGTGATCTGCTTTATGTGTTTCTAGTGAACTTTCCCTTTCCTGTACACTAATGAGCTGCTTGCTTGCTGCTGTGTTGTCACTGTTGATTTTGGTTGTTTTAGGTTGCGTTTGCAATGTGCTGTGCGGCTGAAAAAGCTCATCGGCATCAAGGAGACCCCGGCACCAGACCCTTTGTTTCACCCAAAATCTTCCCATTATATGTGTGTCAATGAATGTTATTTACCTGTGAAAGCCTCCCGTGTGTCCACATCTGAAAGCCCCGAGGCTGCTGCTGGGGGCCACCATCCTGCATGGGATGTCAGCAGCCCCCTGCAGACTGACAGCTGTCACTCAAATGAAGATATTTAACAGGGGTAGGAAACTTTGGCACTACAGCTGTGCTGAATCTTGTAGTTCCTGGAGTGCTGAGGTTGCCTTCATAAAAGTTTATATAGGTAGGTGAGGGGCGGGGCAGAGGAGCTCGGCCAGCACAGGCAGTTATGAGACAGGAGAGGAGAGGGCTATGATGTGCTTGGAGGGAGGTGGGCTGTGCTAGGGAATTGACTCTTCCCAGGGGCATCCCCAGGCGTGGTGTCACCCGGAGCGGCCGCCGGGTGACACCCCCGCTGGGACGTCATTGCACATGTGCGTGACGTCATCATGCACACGCTTAATGATGTCACGCGCGCTTACCTGCTAGCGGCCATCTTGGTGATGAACGCCGACAAAGAGAGGAGGGGATATTCACTAGAGAGGATAAGGTATTCCGCCGGGTCCCCTCCACTCTCTGTCAGTCATTTAAGTGTCACCCCTTCCAAAGGTGTCACGCAGTGCGGGCCACACCCCCCACCCCCCCTTGTGATGCCACTGACTCTTCCTGGTGTAGTCAAAGGCAACTTGAACAAGTGAATATAAAATCATTTATGGCGAAAAAAAATTCTGACAGGATTCATCTAATGATCATTTGCATACTCATAAGTAGGGATGAGCTCAGGTTTGGACTGAGCCCGGTCCAAACCCAAGCTCCTCCAAATCCAGAAGAAGTTCCTTTCGAAAACAGAATCAGCTGCGGGTGGGAAATCCCCCCCTTCCGGCAGCTGATGTAAACAAAGGGACGGGATGCTGTGATGTAATTGGCCTTATATGTAGTAGTAGTGCTGCACAGTAGTTGAGCCCTACTATTGGCCCCTCCGTGTAGGGGTTTGATGGTGAGGGGATGGGGTGGCATCAGTGTATTCGTCATATCTGTATGTGACCGACAGGTTATTTCTGCAGTTGCTGATTAGGCATGAGCTCAGGTTCAGACCGAACCTGGCTCATACCTGAGCCTTTCTGAACCTGGAAGGAGCCCCCAAAACACAGAAGGAAGCACCAGGGGCGTCCCGAGGCCGGGTGTCACCCCGCCATGTCGTCATCACGCATGCGTGTGACGTCACCTCACGCGACCGCGATGACGTCATCGCGCATGCACGGCCATCTGATTAACACCTGCCGGCGGCCATCTTGGTGATGGACGCCAGCAGAGAATGGCGGTGACGTTCACCCGGCAGGATGAGGCATGCGTCGGGTCCCCTCCTCTCTCCTGACACTGTTGGGTCCATGACCCAGTGCCCGACTTTTTGGAGGGGGTGACACCAAAATGACTGTCACCCCTGCAATGGTGTCACCCGGGTGCGGGCTGCACCCCCCATGTGACGCCACTGGGAAGCACCTTCCGTGCCACCTGATCAGCAAAGGGGCGGGATGCAGTGACATCATTGACCATATTCGGCTACATGCCTTTATTTAATGACATTTCCCTAATATGGTCATGTGGCCATATAAGGTCAATTATATCACTATAAGCATCCCCACCCCTTTGTTTACATGCAGCTGCAGGAGCGGGGAATGCCCGGCCCACAGCTGATCAGGTGGAAGTGCCCATGGCACTCCCTCATTTGGAGCTCATCCCAACTCATAAGGCGTCCTCACGTCTCATATCCCAAAAATAAAAGGATTTCATTTCAGGGCCAGTGGGTGGAGCCCATGCAAATCATTCCTTTATTCCCTAGCAACAAAATGCACATCTGCTGTATGGTGCAATCGCCACAGTCATCTAAGCGTACATATTTAATAAAGCAATAAGTGTGCAGTAACCCATAGCAACCGACCAGCAATCATACTGACAAATGAGGGGCAGGGCCAGGTCTGGTTGCTAGGGGTTACCGCTTGTTATTGTTCTTTGTGGTGATTTTGAATAAGTCAAGGTTGTTTTTATAACTTTGTGTTTTTTGTTTGTTTGTTTTGTTTTGTTTGTTTTCCGGAGCAGCTGTGCAAATGCAAATCGTCTTTATTGCGAGGAAGCAATGTGTTTTTTTTTTTCCTTGCAGGCACTGCAGTATGAGGGAGAGGAGGAGCAGGAAGGGGCTGTATACGGCGTGTATTTACGCAGTTCGAGCGCACAACAGGTAAGGCCGGCCCGCCTGTACTCTAATAACATCCATTGCTTTACATAATATCAGACATCAGTAGATGAGACGTCAGCGGGCCTCGGCTCTCCAGATGACGCTGCTGCTTCAATCTGCGGTCTCGCTAGAGTGCCAGAGAACAGCCCGGTAATCGAAGAATATATACACAGTGGAAATAATTGTACAATTACCAGACATAGGATTTCGATCGCGTGACAGTTATTGTAAACCGCGCGGTTGTCGTGTGTTTTTCAATGCCTAGCGATGTCTATGGAACCCAAAGCGCACGACGACCGCCCGAAAATAGCTCCTGCACGCGATTCGGGTCGCTCAACAAACTGCAAAGGTGTGAACAATCTCCATTGACTTCAATGCAAATCTGTGTTTTGCGCGATATAGCGCGACTCAAACCGCGTGAACACCGCACCTAGGTGTACACCGGCCCTCACCACCACTGCCAGACAGCGCAAACAGGATGCTACTCTTGTTTACTACAGCTTCCTGTGTCACCTGTCTGCTCTATGGTCGTTGAATCGTCATATGGATTTACTGTCCAGTGAGCAGGCTGCTGGAGGAGGGGTGGCACAGGAATCTGATCTGCACAGCTGAGAGAGAATATAGGGTTGTCACCTGCCTGCCTGTACTGTGCATAGATCATAAAGCCAGCCAAACAAAGCTACAGGTCCTTTGGATGGTGACGCTGGCCACATATACTGTATGGGGGGAATTTATCGAAACTGGAGCAGACAAAATCTGGAGCAGTTGCCCATGGCAACCAATCAGCTTCTCTCTTCAGGTTGTTCATTTAAGCTTTGAAAATGAAAGGCGGATGCTGATTGGTTGCCATAGGCAACTGCTCCAGTTTTAATAAATTCCCCCATATGTGTTTATAATTTCTCTTTGTGGATTTCTGGTTGCGATAGTCTGTGTCATGGTCTCACCACCACTGAGTCACGGAAAGGTGGTCACATGATCTGGAAACACAAAGCGCACAGCTCACCCCTATCATGCGTCCTTGTGAGCCACATTCGTTTTTGGTCACATGATCTAATTCCCCTTTAACCTCCCAGCATTACACCAGCTGGATGTATACATTTCATCATCACAGGACTTCCATGTTGTAGTCATGTGACCACACCAGCATGGCAAAAGACCCGCGTCACTGCTCTGTGCTACCGTGTGTTGTCCCTGGAAATACTCTGCGCTGCTGGAGGACTCTGCTCCTTCTATCTTTCCTCTCCTGAAATACTCTGCGCTGCTGGAGGACTCTGCTCCTTGTGACTCTCCTCTCCTGAAATACTCTGTGCTGCTGGAGGACTCTGCTCCTTGTGACTCTCCTCTCCTGAAATACTCTGTGCTGCTGGAGGACTCTGCTCCTTGTGACTCTTCTCTCCTGAAATACTCTGCGCTGCTGGAGGACTCTGCTCCTTCTAATGCTCCTATCCTGAAATACTCTGCACTGCTGGAGGACTCTGCTCCTTCCTCTATGACTCTTCTCTCCTGAAATACTCTGCACTGCTGGAGGACTCTGCTCCTTCCTCTATGACTCTTCTCTCCTGAAATACTCTGCACTGCTGGAGGACTCTGCTCCTTCCTCTATGACTCTTCTCTCCTGAAATACTCTGCACTGCTGGAGGACTCTGCTCCTTCCTCTATGACTCTTCTCTCCTGAAATACTCTGCACTGCTGGAGGACTCTGCTCCTTCCTCTATGACTCTTCTCTCCTGAAATACTCTGCACTGCTGGAGGACTCTGCTCCTTCCTCTATGACTCTTCTCTCCTGAAATACTCTGCACTGCTGGAGGACTCTGCTCCTTCCTCTATGACTCTTCTCTCCTGAAATACTCTGCACTGCTGGAGGACTCTTCTTTGTCTAACGCTCCTCCCCCTAAATACTCTGCTCTGCTGGAGGACTCTGCTCCTATTGACTGTCCTCTCCTGAAATACTCTGCACTGCTGGAGGACTCTTCTTTGTCTAACGCTCCTCCCCCTAAATACTCTGCGCTGCTGGAGGACTCTGCTCCTTCCTGTAACTCTCCTCTCCTGAAATACTCTGCTCTGCTGGAGGACTCTGCTCCTATTGACTGTCCTCTCCTGAAATACTCTGCACTGCTGGAGGACTCTGCTCCTGGCTTGCAGAATCTTGCTTGTCTCTGTACCCCTCCTCACCTATATCCTGGATCACTTCTCTGTTCAGCTGTCATGACCTCACGGAGGGAGACACGTACCTAGTAAAGTCCCCTGGGTAATCACAGATGAGCTCAGCCTTGTGTGTGTCTCTGTCAGCCATTGTTCCCTCTTTTATGGAAGTGACTCAGCCCTGCACAGCAGTGTAGTCTGGTACATGACACGCAGGAGGACAGTACAGCCATTGTGTCAGTGTGTCAGTGCTGCGTTCTCGTTATCACTAGACATGGACACTTTCCCACTGAGAACATCTGCTGTGCCCATTATTAGGAGCTCCCACCATCCCTGAGCTGAGTTCCCGGGTCTGTACACCTGCTGTGCCCATTATGAGGGACTCCCACCATCCCTGTGCTGAGTTCCCGGGTCTGTACACCTGCTGTGCCCATTATGAGGGGCTCCCACCATCCCTGAGCTGAGTTCCTGGGTCTGTATACCTGCTGTGCACATTATGAGGGGCTCCCACCATCCCTAAGCTGAGTTCCTGGGTCTGTACACCTGCTGTGCCCATTATGAGGAGCTCCCACCATCCCTGTGCTGAGTTCCCGGGTCTGTACACCTGCTGTGCCCATTATGAGGGGGTCCCTCCATCCCTGTGCTGAGTTCCCGGGACTGTACACCTGCTGTGCCCATTATGAGTGGTTCCCACCATTCCTGTGCTGAGTTCCCGAGTGTGTACACCTGCTGTGTCTATTATGAGGGGCTCCCTCCATCCCTAAGCTGAGTTCCCGGGACTGTACACCTGCTGTGCCCATTATGAGGGGTTCCCACCAACTGTTCTAAATAGGTGACTTTTATTGTTTATTGTTCTGTGCATGGCCAGCATAAGCCTGTGTATGTTCTATAAGGAGTCCCTCTTCCCGTCTGTCAGGGCAGGGAGGAGACAGTGGGGGGGAATTTATCAAAACTGGAGCAGAAAGAATCTCGAGCAGTTGCCCATGGCAACCAATCAGCTTCTCTTTCTCTCATTTTCACATCTTACCTGAGCAAACTGAAGACAGAAGCTGATTGGTTGCCATGGGAAACTGCTCCACATTCTGTCTGCTCCAGTTTTGATAAATTCCCCTCCAGTATCGTTCTGCAGGCCGCCTATTTATGACTTATGTAATGCAATGTGTCTTCTCTCCAGGCTCCTGTGAAAGTCTTAACGCTGCGTGCTGGAACTCTTCCCAGACTTGTCCGCCATCTTCTAGAAGCCCGGTTCCTGGGGGACACCTCCTACATCCCAGTATTCCTGGCCACCTATCGGGCTTTCAGTAGCACCAGTGAGGTGGTGACGTTACTGCTGGAAAGGTTGTATCACTTTTTATGTGTGGGTGGTGATGAGGTGTGTGATAAACAATGACAGTATGGATGTTCCTGTAGGTGCCCACAGAGTGGTCCAACAATGGGCCTCTGGTGGCCTCTTCTCTGAACAGCAGTTGAAAGTGAATTCTGGCAAAACCAGTGTCTTCTGCTCATATTGCTCAAGGTTCAGCTCTCTCTCTTTGCTCTGGTGACCATCGCCAGGAGAGAGAGTGAAGGGAAATCCAAATCTTATATTTGTCACCATGACACAAGTAGAGGAGACGTCTTCTCCTTATCCTGTTTCAAAACTATGGCCATGAATACAAAGTGGACCTTCTTTGCAGCTATAGCAGCCACCACTCTTCTAGGAAGGCTTTCCTCAAGATTTTGGATTGGGTCTGTCGGAATTTGTGCCCATTCAGACAAAAAAATAATTTGTGAGGTCAGGCACTGATGTTGGATGGGAAGACCTGGCTCTTAATCCATGTTCCAGTTCATCACAAAGGTGTTCAGTAGGATTGAGGTCAGGTTGAGGTCTGGTTGAAGGCCTCTTCAGGTCCTCCACACCAGACTGGTCAAACCATGTCTTTAAAGCTGGCTTTGAGCACAGGGGACAGTCATGATGGAACTAAAAAGGGCCTTCACCAAACTGTTACCGCAAGATTGGATGAGCTCTAGGGTTGCTACCTTTTCCTTAAGTGAAACCCGAACAACCTAGCGCTGCACGCAGCAATTTTTTTTTGGGGGGAGAATATAGAGGAGAGAGCGAGGAGAGGCAATAAGGAGAAATAGCAAGAAGAGACAGGCAGGGGAGGGAGTAAGGAGACCGTCTATACAGGACTACAGCAATACATTATACAGCAATACAAAATAATATGAAGCTACATACTCTGTGTTGTTCTGGGTTGGCGCCCTGATGTCTCCGGGTGCCCTGTGCAGGCTCTCAGGTGGGCTGTGCGACTCTCAGGTGGGCTATGCCACTCTCAGGTGGGCTATGCGACTCTCAGGTGGGCTGTGCGGCTCCCAGGTGGGCTATGTGACTCTCAGGTGGGCTATGTGACTCTCAGGTGGGCTGTGCGGACTCTCAGGTGGGCTGTGCGGACTCTCAGGTGGGCTATGTGACTCTCAGGGGGGCTGTGCGACACTCAGGTGGGCTATGTGGACTCTCAGGTGGGCTATGAGGCTATGCGACTCTCAGGTGGGCTGTGCGGCTCCCAGGTGGGCTATGTGACTCTCAGGTGGGCTATGTGACTCTCAGGGGTGCTGTGCGGCTCTCAGGTGGGCTGTGCAACACTCAGGTGGGCTGTGCAGACTCTCAGGTGGGCTATGTGACTTTCAGGTGGGCTATACGGACTCTCAGGTGGGCTGTGCGGACTCTCAGGTGGGCTGTGCGACTCTCCGTTGGGCTGTGCGACTCTCAGGTGGTCTATGCGACTCTCAGGTGGGCTATGCGACTCTCAGGTGGGCTATGCGACTCTCAGGTGGATTATTGGGGCTATGGTGTCTCACCAGGGGTCCACAGGCGGGCAAGCACGGTGTCAGGGAGCTGGAGAACGAGGAGAAGGTAATCACAGATGCAGCTGCCGAGGTCTCCGGCAAGCGTGATCTCGGGCAGCCACATCTGCCTGAAACCAGATCTTCCCACTGCCCGCAGCTCAGAGGAAGATGCGGTTTTTGAGGCCGATGCAGCTGCCCGAGATCGCACTTACCGAGGACCTCGGCAGCCACATCTGTCAGTAAATTTTAAGTGCCGGTGTCGCCACTGAGTGTCTTTTGTCCGGGTGCCCGCTGGCTGGACACCCGGACACAAGACTCCAAAGCCGGACTGTCCGGGTGAAAACCGAATGGGTGGCAACCCTAAATTGAGCTCAATTGTCTAAAGTATCTTTGTATACTGTAGCATAACAGTTCCCCCGACTGGAAACACCTGAGCTCAATCATTTAGAGGGTGTCCGTATACTTTTTGGCAAATTGGCATGATGGGCCGGTGTCCACAAACCTTTGTCCATATAGAGTATCGCCAATAGTCTGGATTGGTGTTTTTGCACTCAAGAACTGGTTGAGCTTGCCTGACAACTGCTATGTGTGGTTAACATAAGGGATTGTTTTGACAGGGAACAGGTTCCAGTTATAATTACATTCACCTACTCAGTAGTACATTGTTATTGATTTACAAATGTTCACCGTTCTCTGTAAAGAGGGAAATTCCTCCTTCCTCCAGATTCTGATAATGAGGGCCGCCATTCAGAGCTCTTGATTGGCTGCTTGAACACCAAGCAGCCAATCCAGATCCGCGGTCAGAAAACCGTGAGAACCATGGAATTTCCCTCTTCATGGATAAAACTTTTCGGGACTTTCAGTAACATTCCATTACTGCAGGAAGAGACATTATCTGAATATAGACGTGATGACTGTCTTGGCTTTCAGGTCTTCTTCATTATAACTTTACCTTTGTGAGAAAGAAGACACCATAAGGAGTCACAGAGAAATAAAATACATGGTAACGGTTGCCAGGAAGCAGCAAATTTTGGGAGGAATTCTTTTTTAAGTCATGGTGCGTGTGGAGTGAAATGGAACGGTTATTTTTAACATCTTTCAGTTACAGCAATGATATACTTTGGACTTTACCAAAATGTACGTTTGCTTTAAAGTGGATCTCCCAGCCAAAACCTTCTCCGCCTGTTTTGGGTGGAAGGGTTGTTAGTTTTGTCAATTCTGAGTTTTACTTTGAGGGAAGGCAAAGCAGAACTTTCATAATGGGAAGAGGTGCTATTGGGGAAACTGCCATGGTCAGGATTTCCCTAAATTTCTAGAAGATTTTCTCTGATTGGTGGACTTCCACTTTAAAGTGTATCTAAACCTAGAAGAGAAATATAATGTACAGGCAGTCCCTGAGTTACATACATCCGACTTACATCCGACCCCTACATAGAAACGGAGGCTATTACTGTACAGCAGGGGTAGTTGTAATGCTACCGCGCTCGTGCCGACGAGGAGTGCGCGCCTTTTTGGGTCTGGTTCGTAGTACTGTACATACATTACAGGAAGTTGGCTCTTGTTAGACGTGCAGACGAGGGGCGCCCACCTCTTCTTTTGGGTCACTGCGAGGTTTTTACTGCTGTCTGTATCCTCATTAGAATGATTTAATCTCACTGTCCTTGAGACAACAGGAAGTGAGAGAAAATATAGCCCTAGGAAGGGAAATTCACCCCTGTAAGAGGTATCATGGGAAAAAGGTGTCTCCACTGAAGCTAAACCCAAAATTTTCAAAAAGTACAGAAAGGGACAGAAAGTGAGGTGAAATCTTCTGAACAGGGGCACACACAGCAAAACAAATGTTACAGGGGGTTAACACTTCCCTTTGCTATCCAAAACTAAAAAAACAAAAAAATTTTGGGGCTGGAGTTACACTTAATTGTGTCCATACACTGTACAACCATCGCAAGACCTTAGTCTTGCGATGGTTGTAAAGTAATTTAAAAAAAAGTACGATCTGCCCATCTTGGACAGGCAGATCGTACTCTCGATCATCGCAAGCCCGCCCCCCTGAGGCGCGGGCTTCCGATGACCGCAATGCTGAACGGGCAGTGTGCGCGTGCACACACCGGCCCGTTCGCAATTTGTCTCCCGAGCACCGTTCAAACCAGCCGAAAATCGTACGATTTTCGGCTGGTTTTCTAACGTGCTCCTTAGACAAAAGACGTGCGACCGTACAGTAGAAACGGTCGCACATCTTCGTTAACACTGCTCGATTCTCGTACGATCGCGGGATTTTTGAGCAGTGTATGGGCACCTTTAGAAAATGTACCTGTTCCAACTTACATACAAATTCAACTTAAGAACAAACCTACAGACCCTATCCTGTTCGTAACCCGGGAAATACCTGTATTGCAGTTGCAGTTTATTAGTCCTTAGATGTGGTGGCTGCATTCGTTTTCCTTTTCAGGCCAGGAAAATTTTCTGCAAGTACAGAAAAATTCCTATTGATCCTTCCAGAAATCCAATGTCCGTATAACTTCCTGTGCGCTGAACTGAACTTGCAAACATGATTATCAGCTTTCCAGGCTATTTTCTGTGAACTGCACAAATTCTCCTCCTTCTGTAATGGAGTTGAGGAGAGGGGGAGGTCGTTGAAGTTTAGCAGGAGAGCATCCTGGGTGACAGCGTTGCTCCTCTATAGATACAGCATGGTGAGTGAGCATTGTCACCTTCAGAAAGTGTAAAAGATGGCTCCGTAATATTAGGTTACATTTGCACTATACACCAGCGGTTCCTGATCTGCATCTGGCTCACAGGGCCTAAAGCAGGGGTAGGCACCCTTGGCTCTCCAGGTGTGCTGAAACTACAAATCCCATCATGCATCTGCCTCTGGGAGTCATGCCTGTGGCTTGCAATTCCTTATGTGATTTGTAATTTCAACACAGCTGGAGAGCCAAGGTTGCCTACCCCTGGCCTAAAGGAATGGTTTGCAGAACTGCAGGGTTCGAGAAGTGGTGAATACCTTCTTTTTTGCCGTGCAGCCACAGAGCACAACAGGGGTGGCTGGATGACAAAAATGCGCTCATCGCTTTACAAAACTTTCAGCAGCTAAAATGCATCCCATATACATACATATGACATTTGTGTGTTTAGCTGTATGCATGGCATTCCTGTATGGAGAGCTCTGGGTGTGCAGGGTGAGAATGGAAGAGCTTTGTACCGCCCCCTGGAGGACATGGGTGCAGTTACACACTGACACCTGTGTTTGCTATTTGCAGGTTACAGAGCAATAATCACTCCCAGACCAGCGACCAATCACATGGAGGGAAGGATGATGAGTGAGTATGGGACCCTTCACACCTCTGCCCTAGGCTTTCATTTTTATTTCTTATATTTCATACAAGTTTAAAAAAAATAAAAATGATAGGGATGCGGCACAAGTACATCTACAATTTTTGATTAATCTTTAATCAATCTGAATGCTGTACACAGGAAATACAGACTGGCATTTTTCAGGGGTCTTCATCCTTTCTCAGGTTCACAGGTGTACAAAGTAGCAAATCTCAATGATTTAACCCTTTCCACTCCCCTACTTCCTTTGACACCCCCCCTTCCTTCTCCCTTGTCCTTTTCTCCTTCCTTTTCCCTTTCTTTGCATTCTTGCCTCCCTCCAAAGCCCCTTCCCCTTTTCATCTCATTTTTTATGTTCATTGTTCCACATTTTCTTTTTTTACTCCTCTTTTAATTTTATTTATTTGCCTTTTAGTGCTCCAATCAATATTTAATTTCTTGTTGTTCCGTGAACCGTCCTCCCAATAGTATTCGTCTTTTATTTACAATTTTCCAATCTTCTTACACCAGATACACTCATGTTTTATAAATTAATTTCCATGTCCTTAGGAGGGTTTTCGCTATTTATGAAAAGTTCCCCTCTTTCTCTTAGCTCGGGGATATAGTTGTATCTTTTATATAGCTTTGAATATTATGTTGTGATTTTGTAATTGGTGTATATATTGTATAAGCACCTAATTGGGGGGCTAGTTGTGTACTGCATATAAGATTCCCTCCCTGCCCTTCCATCTCTGTGATCAAACCCCCTATTGGGTGAAATGCATTAGAGAGGGGCGGTTGCCATGAGACATGCATGAACTCCAATAATGTTTTTCAAGGTCTGATGACATCGGTGTGCGGATCCCTGTTTCCTTGAGAAGGAAAAGGAAATGCATCATCCTCGCTGTTGCTAAGCAACCACCTATAAATGTGATACCTAATGTAATAATGTATCTACACACATAAAGGATTGGCGCTGCCCTTAGCAACCAACAGGATTCCTTGGTCACATGTCTAATGTAGTTTATAGGTTGCTATGGATATCTCCACTGCCATTAATTGCACTGTACAGTATGAGGTCTGTCATCCCTCCAATGATTTATTTTCTATACTCTCTCCAGCATCAGCAGTCTCTTCTGTGCCTGGATGTCTCAGCACCCCAAAGACTTCCTGTCTCTTCAGCCGGAGAAGAGGGATCAGCTGTCTTTCTGCCTTTCCAGGCTGCGGAAGTCGAATTTGGTAGCAAAACTACAGGAGCTCCGTGCCGGCGACAAGAACGGCGCAGATCAGCCCCCAGCGGCAGGGGTCAAGGCAGAACACTCAAACGCCCTGGATGTCCTGATATTTCAAGCCGGATACGTGGCCGAGCAACTCACCTGCCTAGAAGCTGTGAGGGGAAGCAATGTCTCTATGTGTTCATCATATTCCAACCAAAGCTCTGCCCAAAGTTAATATGGCGGCACAGTGGCTCAGTGGTTAGCACAAATGTTGGTGCTTGCACAAGCATTATGTCCCTATTGCAAACTCAGTTCTCTGAATTCCCCATTAGGGTCCGTCCACTGTCAGCGTTACTGGTCATTAAGGAAGCTGTCAGCTAAAGGCCACAGCGTCCTTAACCACCAGTGATGCTAACAGTGGGCGAAGCCTGATAGGAAATTCAGAGAATTGAGTTCCCCATTAGGTCAGCTCTGCTGCTGATTGACAGCTGGCAGTGGTGGGGGGCCATAGGCAGTAGCAAGCTGGCTATGGCACCCAGCTGCTGCCTTCTGTCAATCTGCATTAAAGCAGACCTGATTGGGAACTCAGTTCTCCGAATTAGCCATTAGGATCCGCCAACTGTTAGCGTCACTGGCAGTGGGTGTCACTGATCATTAAAGAAGCTGTTCACAACATCCTTAACCACCATTGATGCTAACAATGAGTGGAGCCTAATGGGGAATACAGAGAACTGAGTTCCCCATCAGGTCTGCTCTGCTGCTGTGTGACAGCTGGCAGTGGGTGGGTGTCATAGCCAATAGCAGGCTGGCTATGGCACCTGCCCACTGCCTGCTGTCAATCTGCATCAAAGTAGATCTGATGGGGAACTCAGTCCTCTGAATTCCCCATCATGCTCGGCTCACTGTTAGCAACACTGATAGTGGGTATCACTGGTTGTTAAAGTGACATTAAACCCTCAGATTTTTTAACATAAACCAATTCTGTAATGTGTGCCTTACTGTAATCCATGGTTGTTTCCCTTCTCTTTGCTGCTCTTCCTTTTAAATCCTCATGTCTTCTCATGCTTGGGGAGAACTTCCCTTTTCAGCTCAGGGCCTCTTCCTGTAGTGCTGGCTCAGGTTACAAACCTATACACAGACACCGTGTATCCATTCCTGAGACAAGGCAGTCTGCTGCAAAACAGAAGTTCTGCAGAGCATGAGAACAGATACAGATTTAAAAGGAAGAGCAGCAAAGAGAAGGGAAACTACCATGGATTACAGTAAGGCGCACATTACAGTATTGTTCTATGTTACAAAATCTGAGGATTTAATGTCACTTTAAGGAAGCCACAGCTTTAGGTAATAGAGGTTCCAGCCCCGGAACGCAGTGATCTATAGTAACCAAATGCTGCCACCATTGTCTGAGATACGATATGGTAACATATGATCGGTCCCTATGGGCTCCTGTACTTTCTGCCAATTCCTCTGCGATCCGCCTTATTAACGTTTACACTCTGTTATGTTTATATCTTTCCGTCAGGCTCTGTTCCTAAAAGTGGTCCCATACGAGTGTCTGGGGTCAGTGTGGTCCCGACGAGACAAGGGCGGGGACCATTTTGACCGATGCCATTCGGTAAGAGAGACCGTGCGTCACTTTAACCGACTGTCGGGCGCTGTGACCGCTTCTTGCGTCCAGGACCCCCAACTGAAGCCCCAGCAGAGGGCGCGGATTATCGAGAAGTGGTTGAAAGTGGCCGAGGTGAGTGAATAGCCAATGCAGGGACATCTTATTGATGCGGTTCTGGTAAAGGGTCTTGCCATGATGCAATGAACCTGTGTAATAGAAGCAGCCAGCCTCTGACCTATGTACTGCATGTGAGCTTCCATTTGGGTTAGATAACCCGTGACACACATGCCAGGAAAAGACAGAAAGAGATCTGGTTGTGACCAGTTGATCTGGGGACCCCTTTAGAATACCTTTTCATGATGCAGTAGAGAAACTCCCTACACACCCTCCTTCCCGTCTCCCACATACAGATAACCACATACAATAATGTGTCTGTAACTGCTTCCTCAGCCTTTCAGATTCATTGCTGCCTTGGAAGGTTGAATCTGATAGCTGATACATATAGCAGACCCAACCACCGCACATGTGAGGAGCTTCCTAATGACAACCCAGATAAAGTTAAAATGACTTCCTAAATGTATCACAGCTGCAGTGTTTGCTGGATAGCATTACAGGATCACTGATTGCCTTCATTTGTTGTCTGCAATGGTGCTGTACGATTTTTATGTTTTCTTTTACTTTTTCACCAGGAATGTTGGAGCCTCAGGAATTTTTCATCGGTCTACGCCATTCTGTCTGCGTTACAAAGCACGGCTGTCCACCGCTTGAAGAGAGTCTGGGCCGAGACAACCAAGTAAGGAGGCCTCTCATCATGACTCGCTGTAGGAGGGGGTGCTTTTGATTGGGGTAGTGGGGTAGGGGGGGACCCCCATTTCTGCTCTTTGTGAGAACAGCGGTCAGACTCTCCAACATGCTGCCAGCATAGGGTATTTTAACCTTTTGTATATTACAATATATATATATAGACATTTAAGGATGTATTAATGAATACAGAGCTGCATCAATTTGTGTCCTGAAGTTCTACTTTAAGTAAACATTCAGTGATGTCATGATGATGTAATTGCAGGGAGATCCAGCGCAGTTACCAGGAGATGAGTGAAGTTTTCTCGGAGCAAGACAACTATGCCAGGATGAGAGAGCTGCTCTTCCAGGTGAGGACGCTTCCACCCCGATCTGATGTACACTTAACATTACCATTGTCTGACTCTGCTGTCTGTACTCCAGTCTCAGGACAGTTCTGATGCAACCTCCAAAAGGCACCCGCCACGTTCCAAGGACCCCAGAGCCACGGTGAGTGTCCTCTATTTATTCTCACATGAGGAAAATAGCATTTCATCACTTTGACCTTTCTAAGGCAGAGATACACAGGGAACTGAAATTGGAACATTATTTTATTTATATCCTTTTCTTCTGAAGAGTAGCTGCTACATAGACTTCTAGTGCTCGTAGATTGCACTATATGGCCAAAAGTTTGAAGCTTGTTGGACATCCCATGTAGGATCATGGGAATTAATAAAGGAAATGTCCCCCACCTCCTACTTTGCAGCTATAAACCGTCTCCACTCTTCTGGGAGATCAGGGAAATCCAAAATCTTATATCTGTCACCACGACACAAGCAGAGGAGAAGTCTTCACTTCATCCTGTTTCAAAACCACGGGCATGAATATGACGCTATACCTGCCACCACTGTTCTGGGAAGGCTTTCCACAAGATTTTGGGGTGTGTCTGAAGTAATTTGTGCCCATTAAGCCAAAAAAGCATTTGTGAGGTCAGACAGCACTGATGTTGGGTGAGAAAACCTGTCCCACAATCAACGTTCCAATTCATCCCAAAGGTGTTCAGTAGGGTTGAGGTCAGGCACTGATGTTGGGTGAGAAAACCTGTCCCACAATCAACGTTCCAATTCATCCCAAAGGTATTCAGTAGGGTTGAGGTCAGGCACTGATGTTGGGTGAGAAGACCTGGCCCGCAATCAACGTTCCAATTCATCCCAAATTTGTTTAGTAGGGTTGGGGTCAAGGCTTTGTGTAGGCCACTAAGATTTCTCCACACCAAACTCATCAAACTATGTGTTTATGAAGCTGGCTTTGTACACAGGGTTACAGTCATGTCTGTCAGTCAATCTGTTTTCAACAGAAAAGGACCTTCACCAAACTGTCACCACAAGGTTGTTGTGCACAATTGTCTACAAGGTCTTTGTGTAATTTAGCTGTACCCTTCCCTGGAAAAATCCAAACTCCATACACATACTTTTGGCCACATAGTGTAGCTGATGGACAGACAATGGGAATTCTATACTGAACCTTACATACAGCTATCAGAATAAAATATTGTTTAAGATGGAGCTCATATAAAGTAACCTTGTACTGAGGTGTTCTGCTCCTACTATATCAAGAAATGAGGGAAATTTGTGTTTGTTCTTCTTTCTGTATATAAGAAAAAAAACCAGAAGAAAAAAATAAAGCAACATGGACTAGCGGGTCCATCATTATCCTTGCATCTTAGAGACAATAAAGCGGACCTTTACACTTAAAAATGAAATTCTACCAATGCATCCCTCTATGTATGATGATTAATAATAACATGGACATGGCAGGTGTAAAATGCTGTGATTGTGAAATACTTCCACCTGCAGAGCATTCACTTCCTGCTTTGAAAGGGCAAAATTACTTCAGTTTGCCAGAGCAATGCACACTGGGTTTGCCTTGTCACCAGCAGAACATTGCTGGGAAATCTCATCTGTAATCTCATGATCTCAGGGAAAGGCATTTTCCTCCCCTGAGATGATGTGCATAGTCACATGTCCTAGTCACATGTGCCAGAAATACCGGAAGTAAAATGAGATCTAGTAATCTGTCCTTAGTAAACATGGCCACTGCCAGAAGACTGTGAAAGAAAAGAGAAATAAGGGATGCAAAGGATACAAAGCCGGCAATTATCTAGAAGTATCTGTTTGTAGATTGTCATCACTAAACATTTCTAAAGGTGTGTTTGTTGTTATTTTAAATATAAGGGTAAAGGTCCACTTTAAGAATGAGGAGCCAAAACTTTGGTGCAGCCCATAGTGGACTATGTACACCAGAGGTTCTCTGTCCCCAATAAACATTCTAAAAAGTACTTAATAATGGGGACAAGGAAGTCCCTTGTTTTCCTATGTGGCGTCAGTATCTCCACCCTGCCTTACATTTCATACAACTTCTGTTTCTCACCATTTGCCAGTTTCTGCGTGTATTTTAACTGTAGCTGTTTCTGTTATCATTGCACAGGGCGTCATTCCATATCTCGGAGTCTTCCTCACCGACCTCGTCATGCTAGATTCTGCCATCCGAGATCAGCTGGAGGTGAGATTTTCTGGTATTTGAATGGATTTTGAAAACCCAGAAATTATAATAAATGATAGTTTGTTAGCAATGCATACTTACATAGTTACATAGTTAGTCAGGTTGAAAAAAGACATATGTCCATCAAGTTCAACTTTCTCTGGAGGCCACCTGCCTGCTCGCTGTTGGAAGTCAGGTTGGGTCTTGGACAGGAGGATATACTGAGGCTGATAATGTGAAGGAAAACATTAAATAGCAGAAGAAATGGGGGGGGCTGTATTGTTGTATCTGAATATATATATATTTTATTGCTTCTTGTGTTATCATTTTCTCAGAATGGATATCTTAACTTTGAGAAGAGAAGAAAGGTGAGTGCGGATTAATATCACATTGTCACACCGTCTAGCATTTTCACTGCTGTGGTCACCTGACAACAAAAGCTAATTTGTTCTGAGAAAGACTGAGCCTTTTTAAAGAGTTATTCTACTTAAAACTGATACAACCCTTTTTTTTAGCTGTTGTCAACTTAAAGTATGCGTAAAGCCAATGGCTAAAATCTCCTGTAAGCTTCAGCAATGGTTGCATGGCTTTTTTCAGGGGGGGTTTCCTGATGGTGACAACAGTGGACCATGCATGTATGAATATGCGATAGGGATCTCCTAGAGGGCAGGGACTGATGTGAATGTAAATGGTCAGCGCTATATAAATACAAAATATAATAATACAATTGTAAAAATAATAATGTCTGTGTAATGTTTGTTAAAATGGCCACTCGTAGATTTCATTGTACTCACGTGAGACATAGTAACAACACAGGAACACAAATGGGATGCTGGGACAGAGCGTTGTCACCCTATAATAGGAAGTGCCTGAACAAGGACCTTCATGGCAGGATCACCAGGGATTATTTTAATGAAAGCTGCAGATTTACAAATATCGGAAGTGATTTTTGAGATTTGAATATTGACATGTTAGGCACACTGCTAAAAGCCGGCCCATACAGATCCGTGCAGCGTGCACAGCCGTACGGGCCGCTCTCGGGAAGGACAGGTGCTGCGTGTGATCTTGCGCAGCAACCTGTTCTTCTCTATGGGAGTATGCGGCCATACGCCGTAGTACGCTCACCGTACTGCACATCCGTGCCGGTGTCTGTAGTCGTACGCAGACAGGATGGATCCTGGCTTCATCTGAGCACGGATACCCGCACGGATGTACAGTTCGGGTGAGCGTACGGCAGCGTACTCCCATAGAGAAGAACAGGCTGCTGCATACAATCACCCGCAGCGCCTGTCCTTCCCGGGAGTGGCCCGATACGGCCGTGCACGCCGCACAGATCTGTATGGGCCGACTCTAAGCAGTGCGAATGAGGCCTTAAAGCTTACGTCATATTTAAGGGAGAATGGGGCTACCTCCAGGCAAGGCCCTCTTGATTTAATCCTGGTTATACATACGTCCCAAGTTGGAAGCTCAAATAGTTTTGAGTTAGGGGACCACTTGGGACTGTGTGGCTTCACATGTGATTGCACATATATGAAATGTAAAATCCATGCTGACTAAATGGAAAGTGTGCTGGAGAATTTTTGTATTACCAACAATTCCAAAGAGGGCGGAAACAAAGCCAGAAATTATGGCAGAAGATCTCATTGCTGGAGTCCCCAAAATTGGCTCAGCTTGTCAAACTCCACTTCTAACTGAAGCATCCGAGCAAGGATTATTTTGCATTTGTATTTGGATGAATGAAAGATTGGTTCTGATTGGTTGCTATGTTTTTTTTATTGGTTTTCATTTGCTTATACATTCTAATAACAACGATAATACACAATAAAGCTATAAACAAACCTCTCTTCTCTCGCTACTCAATGGTCCAAGGTAATATAGACATGGGAATGCCATGGAAGGCATCAGACAAGGTGTGGTAGAGTCCATACCAGCATATAAAACTAAGCTATGGTAGATCAAATTCCAGAGGAGAGAGTAGAGAACATGAGTGGATGTGACACAGGAGCCCCGAATCCTATTGAATTATTTTGGCTTATCTCTTAATTCCTAATGGTGTTTGTCTGGAGTTACTCAGGTGTTTGCTATGGGCTGCTGCACTTTGCACACTGAATTCTGCCTCAATAAATGAAGATGACATGTGTGTTTGTGGGGGTGGGGGGAGCACATTAACATTGCACCTTATTTTCCTAACTGTCATTAAATGTGATTGTTTTAGGAGTTTGAGTCGCTTTCTCAGATTCGGATGCTACAAAACGTCTGTCTGGGCTATCGGTTCACTTCCGATCCACTGTTTGTCAAATGGTTCCAGAAACTGCGCTCAATGAGTGAGGATGAGAGGTGAGTGTACCCTGCAGGACCGGGACCAGGCCTTTTCCGGGCTCACAGTCAATGAGTTATTAAAGGCATAGTCCAGCTTTAAAAAAAAAGAAAAGAAAAATGTGCATTTATTGTGTTTTTGAGGCTGCTAAGCATTGCACTGTGATCAGTGGATCGAGGGTGCAATGCTCTGGCTGAATGGACTACAAGTGCAGTGATGTCACCACACTTGTAGTCGATTCATAAGTCCCTCTGCTGCAGTGGCAGTTGGGACTTGTAGTCCTTCCATTCACAGATCCTGTCAAAGGACTTCTAAATGGATGACACAACTGAGATAGCAGAGCCACACACAGCCATGCCAAATTCAAATTATTCTAGGAGCTTGCAGGGAGAAGTACCCCACGATTCAGGTAAGTGGGGGGTCAGGATGGGTTGGGGATGTGACCATATTTTATGTTACACCCTGAATATTGGTACTCTATTGGTAAAAAGTAAACTTAGCATTTAGGGCTCATTCACACGGACGTGCACTCCTGTGCAGAGACCTGCTCCTGGGAGGGACAGTTGCTGAGTTTGAGGTGATCTTGTCGTGTGATTGTTTGTCTTGTCGGGTGACGCATTTAATTTCTTCTGCAGTTATCGACTATCATGTGACATTGAGCCAACGCAGGACATGACACCGGGGCCCCCAATGAAACCTACAGTGGTTATCACACACTGCACTGAGTGAGTAGATGACACGTGTGTGTGTGTGTGTATATATATAAAATTTATATAGGTTGTAATTCTTCTCCACTCTTTCCCCCCCAAAAAAGCCCCCAAAATTTTGGCCATCTGACGTGTGCTATATACTCCCTATTATGTTGGAACCATGTAATTTTTCCCATAATTGTACAACAGAATGTATTGGAAAACCATCCAACTGGGACAACCATATAGAAAAAGAGAAACCATATAGAAAGAGGAGGAGGGGAAGTTAGAGAGGGAAGTGGGAGAGTTAAATGAAAGTGGGAGTTGGAGAGGATCAAAGGAAAGGATGGTAGGGGAGTCTAGAGAAAGAAGATAAAAGGGGAGAGGTGTGTTGGGGGGGTTGTTGAAGGTTCCGCCACCATCACAGATTGGAGGAAAGGTCTGCCATTTGGTCCATGTCATAGGGCAAATTTCTTATCTGTCTTGCCAAGAAATCATATTCCCAAGTTGCACCATGGAGTTCACTCTGCCACAGTGGGGGGTTGTGTTGGTGTATGTAATATATAACATTCTTGTTTCTATTTGTCTCTGTAGTCTTTTGGCTTCCATTGTTGCTCCATTTGGACCCAGCATGCATTTGGTGGCTTGGGATGCTCCCTGTGAACGACTGACAACACCCAGCCTAACCGCAGTATGTTTTCCCTCTGTGTCTGTTTTTCAGTTTTGTCCAGTCTGACTGTTGTAAAAGAAAAGCCCAGTAAGTTAGAGGGATGGTGGAGCTATTGGCAGTGGTGTTGGGGCTTATAACTCTTGGCCAACCTGTAGCAGTCAAGAGCAACAAGTGTGCACCGCGGACATGCGCTGTTGACGACACCTCTGGTGCCAGTTGTTCTGCGGAGAAAAACCACTGGACAAGTTGTCTAACTTGTTGGATTGATCAATGACCCCACAGAATGGCTGGCCAGGGCTGCCTGAAGGTACCACAGACAAGGAATCGTCAGTCAATCTGGTACAAAAAATAGACAAATCTGGAGAACTTCATCTTGTGTACTCAACACAGGTTTTTAAATGTCCCCCCTAATTGCTGGACCAGAGGCTGTTCTTGTGCTGAGCCCCCCTAGATACTGTGTATTGAGACTCAGGACACACACAAATGAGGAGCATTTGTTTTGCATTGTGACAAATCAAGATGTGGTCTGCAGTATTCAGGTCATGCTTGACTGCTGTAGGCCTATTGATTACCATTGCATCTCCCACTGGAAAAAATTGGAAGGGCAACCAGAAAGTAGGCATTACAGTAGTAACACATGTGCTAAATATACAGTATCTCTACATTCAGTGTGCGCTCAGTTTATACTTCCCATTCTTGTGTTGGTGACTCCATTTTACACAACTTTTCCTACAACAGCAGCAGAGGAGCCCCTCCGTCCCTACGCTGGACTCACAATGCTCCCCCAAGCCGCCTCCTAAGGGGTTTCTAACACCGGCTGTTGCCGGACGCACACACAGACGCTCCGCCTCCTGCGGCAGCCCCTTCACCACCGTTCAACACAGCAGCTCTGCGGAGCATATCGCGGAGCCAGGCAAAATCCCAGATCCCGCCGAAGACCACCGCATCATCCGGGCACGACTGGAGCCTGCAGAGCAAAGCAGTGTTTACAAGAGTGTGCGGGTGAGTTGTGACTTCCACACCAACATTGAGCCTTTTGTTCCAAAATGTCTAAATTAAGAACTGTATTTCCCACACCAAACAAATTATCCTTTTCTTGGCCATGTATAGCCCAGATAGCAAGAAATTGTGCTGCAAGTTTGAAAATGACTTGCTAAACTATTGCAGACTTGCCAAGCTTCACAATTTTGTTGCACAATTACAGCAAGTCTGCATTGCAAGTCTCCAGACCAGCGAGCTTGCAGAGCTCTTGCTAAGACCTGCAGGACTCTTGCTGTAGACTTGCCAAGCAAATTTGCTACAAATTCAAAAAGTGTCAACTAGACCTTGTGCTGCGAGTGTTCTGCAAGTCTACAACTTGCCAGGAATGTGTGCAGCAAGTTAACAAGAATTACAATTTAACCCTGACACAAGTTTGTGGAACCCTAAGCTGCAACTTCCACCATCATTGCAGAGGTCTCCTGCGGTGGAGAGAGCTGATTGGGAGCTGTGGGAGACTTATTTTAGTTACTTTTATAAGCTGAGCCATTTGTTTTGCCATTTCAGATCAACAGCCAGGAAAAAGCTCCAGCAGTGATCGACCGCATCCTGAGAAAACATCACATGAACACACAGGGTTCACACGAGCTAGTCCAGATATTGCCAGGCAATAAAGGTCAGAAATCACAATTTCTTGAATCATATTATTTATTATAGACAGATCCTCCTGTCTATAATATGACTGTCTACAGGTGACTACCTCTGCCTCCCCTGTTTTGTGAATACACTTGCACACAGAGACTACATAAGATATTCTGGTGCACTGCATTGATGACCCCCTACAGTCCCCGGGTGAGACGACATGGTCCAGTCCCACATGATGAGGAAGGAGGATGTGAATGACATAATACCTTTAGATCTTTTACAGATAAATTAGACATTGCACGATGTGGATTTTATACAGTGTTACAATATAAACATATTTCCTAATACTTTATGGGCACCTAGAAAATCTCCATAGAACCCTAAGGCTGGCCATGATACATTGTTACAGTATATTTTTTTCGTTCAGCCTACAGGCATGACCAAAAAAAATATATAAGATTCCTCCATCCACGCTGAGTGTGGATGGAGGAATCCTCTGCAGTGTTCATTGTATTGTGACAACGTCCGGCAGCAGTTGTCAGAATGCCTGAACTGTCGGCCAAAGATTTTCCATCCGGCTCCTTCGATTTTTTGATCGAGGGCGGAGAGGTGCTAATTGGGGCAGCCACTGTGCAAATTTTGGCTGTTTCATCAAGTCCCTAAAGGTGCCCATGCACTGCACGATTCTCGTACGAGAATCGCGGGAAATTCCGCGATCGTACGAGAATCGTGCAGTGTATGGAAGGCGTGCGACCGTTTCTACTGTACGGTCGCACGTCTTCCATCGAACCAGCATGTTTGAAAACCCGCCGGGAATCGTACGATTCTCGGCGAGTTGGTGGCCTGCTGGTTCGACAACTGCCGAACGGGCCGGTGTGCGCACGCGCACACTGCCCATTTGCAGTCAGCGTAAGCCCGCCCCTCATTGCAGTCATCGCAAGCCCGTCCCTCAGGGGGCGTGGCTTGCGATGATCGAGAGTGCGATCTGCCCGTCCAAGATGGGCAGATCGTACGTTTTTTTAATCCCTTTACAACCATCGCAAGACTAAGGTCTTGCGATGGTTGTAAAGTGTATGGCCACCTTTACTATTCACATAGTACAGGTGAAACTCGAGTAATTAGAAAATCGTGCAAAAGTTCATTTATTTGTGCTGCTTGTGCACCTTTTTCTTCCACACTTTTCCCTTCCACATAACTTTCTATTAATGTGCTTTGATACAGCACTTTGGGAACATCCAACTTCTTTTGCAATGACCTTTTGAGGCTTTCCCTCCTTACGGAGGGTGTCAGTGATGGTTTTCTGCACAACTGTCAGGTCAGCAGTCTTTCCCATGATTGTGATTCCTACTGAACTAGACTGAGAGACCATTTAAAGGCCCAGGAACCCTTTGCAGGTGTTATGGCTTAATTAGCTGATTAGAGTGGGACACTTTGAGCCTAGAGTATTGCACCTTTTCACAATATTCTCATTTTATGAGATTGTGGATTTGGGGTTTTCATGAGCTGTAGGCTATAATCATCACAATTATGACAAATCACGGCTTGAACTATCTTGCTTTGCATGTAATGAGTCTATCTCATATATTAGTTTCACCTTTTAAGTTGCATTAGGGAAATAAATGAACTTTTGCACGATATTCTAATTATTCGAGTTTCACCTGTATATAGCCAGCTTTAGGGTTGAACTTAGTAGTTAGTGCTTAATTGGATGTGGTGTCTGCAACATCTATGTTGCTTTGCTTAACTTCTCTTTTATTATAGGTATTTATGTCCATCAATTTACACAGAACTTACTATTCATTCACTTCAGTCTCTGCCCTCAAGGAACTTGGAGTGTAAGCTTCCTATCTCACATGAGTGTATTTTTGGAGTGTGGAGGAAACCGGAGTACCCGGAAGAAGACCGAGCACAAGGAGAATATGCAAACTCCATGCAAATAGTGTCCTGGCCAGAAATTGAACTGAGGATCCCAGTGCTAACCACTGAGGCGCTGCAATTGATTATTTTGCAGCAAGGCCGACACTAATGACTTATTGGTCCACATGCTCTGTTTTTCCTTTATTTTCCCTTCTGGTCTGAACAACTGATATCCGATATGCACATACTTGTTCTGGATCTGTCTCTCATAAGGGCCTGTTCACATGATATCAGGTGCGGATCTGCAGACGCGGTGCTACTGATGCAGTGCGTTTTTGCCGCGTTCTTGATGCATTCCAGTTTAAAAAAAAAAAATGTTTTTTTTTTTTTTGCTGGAGTGGGGCTGTCAGTATGTTAGCTGCAGTGCAGTGCGTTTTAGACGCGTTTTGCGTTTCCGGTCCGTTTCCTGACCGGACAAAATGTGACATGCAGTATTTTTCTGTGGTAACCTGAACGGACTGCGCACGTGAGAACTGTAGCCCATAAAACACATAGGGATACATTGGGATGCATTTTTAGTGCAGGAGCGTACGGATCAGGTCAGCACAGAAAACGGACGTCGTGTGAACAGGCCCTAAAGCCTATCTCCAGTGTAAAAAAAACCTCCCATTGCAATGGTTAACTCCTCGTTAATATCTAGTGTAAAGGACTTTTACTTACCTGATCCCTGCTCCCACACACTCCAAGACCAGCACCAGCAGCCACTCCCTCCTGTGCTTCTTCAGTCTGAGGCTTGGTGACATCATCACATACATTACAAGGCCCAAAGCCCCGCATTATACACGAGGATGACGAGCGACAGTCCACGAGGTGGGGTATAGGGGAGAGCTGTGAGCACTGAGGGCCAGGGGAGTGGGAATCAGGTAAGTAAAAGTCCTTTACACAATACTTCTTCTGCTTCGGTTGCTATGGATTACTGCCCTTTCAACCTTGTCATTGTTCTTCCTGCTGCCCTATTAAATTATCTTAATATTCTATTCCATACAAATGAGAAATGTTTACTTTTACAGAACTGGTCTTTCCAGGGACAGCAAACGTCTTCTATGCAATGAGTTCGGCCAGTCTGGACTTCCTGGTCCGTCCACACCAAGCCGTCACAATGCCTCCCGCCGAGACCAAACCTCAACATCGGGTACAAATGAATGCCACCTATCCCAAAATCAAGGTCAAGGCCGGAGACCTGGCAAGGTCCCTCTTCTAACTGGCTGTTCCAGGCATGGAGCTTCAAAAAAAGGACACTTTCTTTCATGCTACAATGGATGCATGTTTGTTGAAGGAAAGCATAGAATGCAATGCATTTACCATGAAGCCTTCAGAATCACTCCCAGCTCAGGACAAAGTGCTCTCAATGCTTTACCCCAAGTGGCCTTCTATTACCCTTCAATGGGGACAATGACTGGTGTTCAGACATCAGCTTTACACGGCTGATATGAAATGCTGTCACAGGCCTTCCATCAGCAGGAACTGGTGCAATTTATCATTTTATGTGACGTCACTGCACCCTGCCCAGGAAGTGATGTCGCAACCGCAAGTTATAACATGCTGCTCAATTCTCTATACACTAGCATAAAAAAAAAACACTATGTACTGTTATTTTTATGTATTTCTGTCTGTTAATTTTATCTACCGTATGTAAAATTAAACAAAAAATTTCCCAAAGGTTGGTGGTCATGTGACTGGAATGCAAATGATCTTAAGAGCTTGTAGAACCTCAAATCCCAGGTAAAGGTGCCCACACACCTTACGATAATCGCGGGAAATCCCGCGATCGTACGATTATCGTAAGGTGTGTGGGAGCCGTGCGACCTCTGCTACTGTAAGGTCGCACGACTTTTACCTTCGGAACATGTTCGAAAACCAGTCGAAAATCGTACGATGTTCGGCTGGTTTGTGGCATGTTCGCAAGATAAAAGCCGCAAGCGTTCAGCATTGCGGTCATCGGAAGTACGATCTGCCTGTCCAAGATAGGCAGATCATACGTTTTTTTTTTATTACCTTACAACCATCGCAAGACAAAAGTCTTGCGATGGTTGTAAGGTGGGTGCCCAGCCTAACAGACTTTGAAGAAAAAAAGTGCTGCTGCGTGCATGAGGCAAATCCGTTTCAGGGTGTTCACATGATATAGCAGGAAAGCCTCAGTTCCCAGAAAGCTTTACTTCTCAGAGTCAAGATCAGCAAAATAAAGTCAAAAATTGGCCTGACCCTATTAGCTGGCAAGCCCGTCAATCATGAATAGAAGCCAATCACAATACACACAGGTGTCGGGCACATTCTGGACTCTACTTTCCCTAGGTTGCCCAGTGTTCCGGGGTACTGTATAGGACAACTGGAGGCACTTCTACTGGCAGCTTACAACTACAGTAATACCTTGGTTTACAAGTAACTTGGTTTGAGAGCGTTTTGCAAGACAAGCAAACATTTCTGAAAAATGATTAAACCAAGGTATTACTGTATAAAAGTATAGGTACACATTATAAATGTGCAGTGCCCTTGTGTTGGCTTTAAACAGCCATGTTAAAGAGTGTTTGCAGATTTAGAGTAGAGAAGGTAAGCACTTTCCCTGATTATATAGCATGCAGGGTGCATTGTAAGGGCACAACTAAACCACCTGTTCTGTAGATGGTGTAAAGAAGTTCAGATACACAGGTTTTGGTGTCACAGCGAGGCTCTGAGGTGAAGTATGATAGCTGTATTAAATCCTGTGTCAGATTCCTGGGCCCCTGGCTGTGCTCTGTTCACCAGTCCCTATAGGACACAGTGGTGATGTAAGGTGTCAGTGGATCAAACCACAGAGCACATCTGGGGGACCAGGTATCCCAGAGGTATCCTTTGTTTTCAATTCAGCAGCATCCGGCTGGGAGGCAGCAGGAGCGGTAATTACATGAGAATGCCGAAACATTTTTAATTGCAACAATTTTCTGGCCGAAGTGGTGCATTATCTGACAGAAATGCCGGGGTGCCTATATATATATATATATTATATATATAAATAATGTGCAATGATACAAGCATCGGTATCGGCGGCGATGCCGAGTATTTGCATGAGTACTCGTGCAAATACTCCGATACAAAAAAACGAGTACCT